GGGTGACCTTCATTGACTTGGCATAAGGTTGTTTAAGGGTGACCTCCAATGTCTATATTGTCTATATTGTCTTTTGGCATATTGGTGTGTATTCCCTGAGTTGGAACTTTTGATATGCTATTTACTTTCCTTTTTGATTATTTTCTTTGTTGGACATAAGGTTGTTTATGTGATTATTTAAATTTTCTAATCTGACTTTAGGAACACCTCATAAAAACTGGCTATGGTTTGGTGTCTGTTACTATGTTTGGAGATCCAGACAAGCCAACTCTTGTTACTTATCCTGATGTAGCATTGAATTGTAAGTACAGACCAAATACCATTTTAATCAATAGTTACAGTTATTATCATCATGAAAATAACAATAGTTTCTAAAATTATTATTATTTTGAGAGATTGACTAAACCAAGTTGTCCAAATACTTGGAAAGTTATATTCAAAAGTAATTAAGAACTTTTTTTTGTCAAAGCTAAAAGGAAATTTGAATGTTTGTACTTGTTTGAATTTGCTTGCATGGAACCATGATCTTTTTCTGATCCTTCATTGCTTAAAGTAACTTCCCTTTTGTTCTTGTGTACATCTTGAGAAGATGTGTCTTGCTTTCAAGGGTTGTTCTTTTGTCCAGATGTATTTTCCTTGTTGCTCCACAACTTCTGCATCTACCATATTAGTCCAGATGTATTGTTTGATTTGAATTGTTTCCCAATTTTCGGTCTAGGCAAACTAGATCCTTAAAAAACTTAAAATTCGAGGTGTTGACGTCCCAAAATCACCAAACGACATCGGATTAACACGAAACTTGGCACACATGACCACCTTGGCACGAGAGACTTGTGGGAGAATATAGGACTCAAATCGAGTTCCTGGTTTGGAGCTAGAGGCAGATTTTGGTTTAGACAAACTAGTTCCTTAAGAAACTTAGAATTCGAGATATTGACGCCCCAAAATCACCAAACGGCGTCGGATTAGCATGACACTTGGCACACACAACCGCCTTGGCACGAGAGACTTGTAGGAGAAGACGAGACTCGAATTGGGTTCTCGGTTTGGGAGCTAGAGCCGGATTTCGGTCAAGGCAAACTAGTTTCTTAAGAAACTTAGAATTTGAGGTGCTGACGCCCCAAAATTACCACATGGCTTCAGATTAGCATGAAACTTGGTACACACGACCGCCTTGCCACGAGATACTTGTGGGAGAAGACAGGACTCGAATCGGATTCTTGGTTCGAGAGTTAGATCCAGATTGCAATCTAGGCAAACTAATTCTTTAAGAAACTTAGAATTCGAAGCGTTGACGCCCCAAAATACCAAACGGCATCGAATTAGCATGAAACTTGGTACACACGACCGCCTAGTCACGAGAAACTCGTAGAAGAAGACAGGACTCGAATCGGGTTTTCGGTTTGGGACGTATAGCTAGATTACGGTCTAGGCAAACTAGTACCGTTAGAAACTTAGAATTAGAGGTGTTGATGCCCCAAAATCACCAAACGATGTTAGATTAGCACGAAATTTGGCACACACGACCGCCTTGGCATAAGAGACTTGTGGGAGAAGACATGACCTTAATCAGATTCCCGGTTTGGGAGTTAGAGTTGGATTTCACTCTAGACAAACTAGTTTCTTAAGAAACTTAGAATTTGAAGTGTTAACGTCCCAAAATCACCAAACGGCGTCATATTAGCATGAAACTTGGCACACACGACAACATAGGCACGAGAGACTTGTGGGAGAAGACGGGACTCGAATCGGGTTCCCGATTTAGGAGTTAGAGCCGGATTTCACTCTAGACAAACTAGTTCCTTAAGAAACTTAAAATTCAAGGTGTTAATGCCCCAAAATCACCAAACGGCATCGGAGTAGCAGGAAACTTGGCACACATGATTGCCTAGGCACGAAAGACTTGTAGGAGAATAAGGGATTCGAATTGGGTTCCCGGTTTGGGAGTTAGAGCCAGATTTCATGCTAAACAAACTAGTTCTTTAAGAAACTTAAAATTTGAGGTGTTGACGCCCCAAAATCACCAAGCGGCGTCGGATTAGCACGAAACTTGGCACACACGACCGCCTAGGCACGAGAGACTTGTGGGAGAAGATGAGACTCGAATCGCGTTCTCGGTTTAGGAGTTAGAGGTAGATTTCGGTCTAGGCAAATTTATTTACTTAATTATCTTTGTAATTGCATAGTAGTTAAATTTTTATATTTTTATTTGTAATTAACATATTAACACATAATTATATTGTCATTAATTATTTTTATTTTTATTTTTCAGATATTTCCCGAGTAGGAGTTTACTTCTTGTGGAATGTGTACCTGTGAAAAATGCAACTAACTTTTGTTTTTGTTACCCACGGAGAATGATGAGGAAAACTTTTAATTTTGATTTATGTTATTTTGAGTTATGAACAACATTATGTATTTAACATTATATATGTATTATGGAACATTATGTAGTGTGGTAATTTTGTTGATGTGTAGTTATGGATGGAATAATATTTTTATTATGGAGAAATTGTTACTTCTATACAGGAATTTTTATATTATTATGCAATTATTGGTTTCTTTTTTAATTATTTTTCATCTAATACAGGTAATTTTAATATTGTTAATAATTATCTTGTAGATTTTCTTTTTTTTTTCTTCTTTACAACGGCACCACACCGTCGCAAAAAACAGGTAATTTTAATATTTTTATTAATTTTATTTTATTTTTCATTTTATTTATTTATTTTTTTTGCGACGGCACCATACCGTTGCAAAAAACATTAGAACCATTGGCGACAGTGGTCGTGCTGTTGCAAAAAAAAAAAATACCATTGACAGTATTTCCTGCGGTCTCAAATAAAACTTTTAGCCACGGTAACACAGTGCCGTCGCAAAAGGTCTTAATTTTTTACATATTATAGGCGACAGTAAAATGCAATCGCAAAAGGCCACAAATACCGCCACAAAAAAAAAAGGTGACAGCACGATGTCGTCGCTAAAACTTTTTTGCAATGCCCTCTACTGTGAGCCCCCATTTGTCGTCGCCAAAAGTCATTTGCCATCGCTACAGGTTTTTTGAGACGACATTAGGAGTATTGGCAATGGTAAACCTGAAAGTTTTGTAGTGACGTGTCATCCATCAACTAGTGTGTGATTGGTTCGTTCACTTTTTGCTCTTAGCTCAGAGTTGTGTGCACCTGCACTTCATTCCTATCAGATGATGAATCAGGAAAGGCCTTAGATATGTGACTGCAAACCACATAAGCCAATTTTACAACCTAGAAAAGAAAATGAAGCAAAAATGACTCTGCTCCAAAGTCTATACCATGTCACGCAAAATAGTGCCACATGGTGCATATCAACAATCTCTCTCTTTATTTTGGAAAAATTATCAAAGATAAACGGATAAACTACATTAACCACTATGAATTTTCATGGAGCAAGGAGGATGGCAACTTGTGTTTAGGAGAAGACACAAAAATAGTGACTTAAGATCAGGAGGTGGTATGCATACTGTGTTCGTAGACAACATCCCAGATTCTATGCATCCAAAATAACTTTTTCATCTATTCACAAATTTTGGAATAATTAAGGATGTCTTTATTCCAAGCAAAATGAGGAAAACATTAGGGTCAAGATTTGGATTCGTAAGGTACAATTGCCCAATAGCAGTTAAGATGGCTATCCAAAAAGCCAACAGAACATGGTGTGATGATAAAGTGTTAAAAGTAAAGAAAGCTGAGTTTGGTAAGGAGCAAGTTAAAAGCAAAGGCAGAGTTGACACTCATCTTCAAGCACCACCGAGAGCAGTGGGGGTAAGGATGACAACTGCTGCAAGCAATGTAAGGAGAGTGTCATATACCGAAGCACTTAAAGGTGGGAATGATCTAAAAGAAAAGGCAATAGTTTTCAAAGCAGAGGAGTATGGAAATGGATGGATGTACACAAGTGTGGTGGTAAAACTATGGCTGAAATACTATAATGGTAAACTCAAGGAGGAGTTGCTAATCAGAGGTGTAAAGGATGTACAGGTGAAGGATGGGGGTGGAAGAATAGTGTACCTATCATTCCCCTCACTAGAGGAAAAGATGAGTAGCATAAAGGTTATCCATGGGTGGATCCATGAATGGTCTGGATCGGTTATGGAATGGAAAAAAGGAATGAAGATTGAGTTTGAAAGATATGTTTGGATATTTGGAGTCCATCCTAATCTTTGGAGCACTCCAAACTTTCTAAAAATTGATCAGATTTGGAGTGAAGTGGTGGAATTAGATAAGAATATATTTGATTTGGCTTCTCTGGAATGGGGTAAGATGAGAATCCTTACATCACAAGTGGAGTCTATTACTAATATTGTTTATTTGGAATGTAAAGGCTGCATATATCCAGTTTGGATGTGCAAAGATATTAAGCTCAACCACAGAGATCAGGGCTATAGTCTCAGCACCCAAAAAACCACTGAATCTGGCAAGGGCATTATCAATGAAGACTAAAGTTTGAAGAATCACAGTGGAAGGGAGGAAGAAGAAGATGATGTAGCAAGTGTAGAGGGTGACCTGGCAATCCATGATGGTGCTCTACATAATGAAAAGGGAGTACCCTGCAAGGAGAGGGGTGTGGTAGACAAAGGAAATGATTACCCACCTATCTCAGCCGTAAGTAAGACCTGCAATATTGTGAGGAATAGAGATGGGGGCAGCCATTGCACAAGGGTCGAAGAAAGCATGCACATAAATTTAAATCACAACTCTGATAGGGGAAGCAAAAGAGGTGTAGGTGTTTTGGTCTCTGATGGGCCTATAAGAAGCCTTAGTAGGATTACATCTCCACAGCCCAACATTAATTTAGAAGTAGTTTTGGATCAAGCCCAATTTGATGGTCTTTTGAATGGAATTAATTTGGGCTTGTCTAAAACAATTAGGCTGGACAACTCTGAGATTCTTGATCTAACACATTTTGAAGCCTAGATGGTAAAGGATAAGGGCATTGCTATAGTCACAAACGAAAGGGAAAGTCAAAGTAATCAAGCTCTACAAACCAGCAAGTCAATAAAAGATAAAGTGAGTAGGGGAAAATTAGTGATGAAATCTGGGTTTCAAAGAAGGGCCATCTTTAGAGCAGTTGCTATTGCAATTTCTTCTTCTCTATCTTATAACAGCAGCTCAAGCAGTCAAAACAAACTACTTTTGAAGAAGCTACTGTACAGCTTGGGAAAGAGCTGGGCATAGATTTTGAAGGCAAAGATGATGAAGTTATGAGGAAAATTATTGAAATTGAAGAAAAGGACATGGAGCAAGCTATTGCAAAGAGCAATGGTGCTGGGGCTTAGAATAGCTTCAAGGGAGGCTCAAGAGTAAAAAATATTTTTTATAAAGATTTTTTCTTAGAATATTAGAGGGCTTGGCAGGCCTGAAAAGAGGAGGCAAGTCAAAGAAGCTATCAAAGAAAGAAAAGCGGACATGGTGCTATTGCAGGAAATAAAAAAGGGAAATGTTTCAAAGCAGTTTGTGAAATCTATCTGGCCTCATGATCTAGTTGGCTACATGAATGTGGATGCTGATGGGAGGGCTGGAGGTCTGCTTTGTGTTTGGAAGCTTGAAATTTTCTCTTTAACTAACTGCTGCTGTAACAGGAACTTCATCCTATTATCAGGTACTTTATTTAATAGTTTGGAGTGTGTGATTGTGAATGTATATGCACACAATGATGTGATTGATAGGAGAAAATTATGGGCATCTTTGATCAATATTAAGGCTATTTTCCCCAAACCTTGGTGTGTAAGGGGGGACTTTAATGAAATAAAATCACTAGATGAAAGGAAAGGTTGTGTAAGAAGGAATAGGGAAATGACAGATTTTGGTAACTTCATAAGCAGCCTGGCTTTGATTGTTGGAAAGGAAATATACATTGTGTAATTCAATGAAAGATGAGAGATGGAGCAGGTTAGACAGGTTCCATGTTAGCCCAAAATGGTTGGGATGGTTTAGATACAAACTCTGGGGTCTGCCTAGATCCATCTCAGATCACTGTCCAATTATCCTGATGGAGGATGAGAGAAATTGGGGCCCAAAGCCTTTTAGATTCATCAATGCGTGGGCATCTCACCCTTCTTTCATGCATGAAGTGAAAAAAGTATGGGAGGGTACTCAGGTAGATGGTTAGGCAAGTTACAAACTAAAAACCAAGCTGAAGGCACTTAAACAAGCTTTAAAGAAGTGGAATTGAAGTGTTTGAGAATATGGACTCTAAACTGAAGCAAGCTGAAGAACAATTACATGCCTTGGATTTAACTGCTAAGAGTAGAAACCTGGATGAAGATGAAGGTAGGAAGAGAAGAGAGTTGAGTGGGGAAGTGTGGAAGCTCAGAAGATGATGGAAAGAATTTGGCTACAAAAGTCAAGGCTGAATTGGAACTAAAAAGGAGATAAAAACACTAATATTTTTCACGTCATAGCTACGAAAAGATAGAATATTAAGGAAATTGACTTTATGACAGTGAATGGGGCAGCAGTGAAGCATCCTATAGAGGTGAAACAAGCTGTGTATAATCACTTCTGGTTTAGCTTTAATGAACAATGGAAGTCCAAACCCAAGCTACTGGGCCCATTTAAAGTGATTCAACAGAGCCAGCATTTCAGTAGTTTGGAAATGGAATTTCTAAAGATGAAATTTGGGCTGCAGTTACAATTTGTGATAGCAACAAGGCACCTAGTTCTGATGGGTTTAACATGACCTGCTACCAAAAAGGGTGGAAATTCATGAAAGGTGATATCCTCACTTTCCTGCAGGAATTCTATATCAACAGCAGTTTGGTTGGAAGCTTAAATAGTTCCATCATTACTTTCGTCCCTAAAAAAGACAACCCTTCAGGCATCCTAGACTACAGGCCTATTAGTCTTATAAACTCCACATATAAAATTATTTCCAAGGTTCTTACTAATAGATTGAAAAAAGTTCTTCTTGTTGTTATAGATAATGTCCAATTTGCATTTCTATGGCGAAAAAATATTTTGGATGGTGTATTGATAGCTAATGAGATGGTGGACTGGTGGAAGAAACCTAGAAGAAAGGGATTGATATTGAAGTTCGACTTCTAAAAAGCACACACAGTAAATAGGAACTTTCTTATCCAAATGCTATCTAATTTTGGTTTTGGTTCTAAGTGGGTGAATTGGATCTATACCTGCATTTCTTCAACTAAAATTTCTGTGTTGGTAAATGGTTCACCCATACCTAAATTTTTCCCTAAAAAAGGACTAAGGCAAGGCGATCCATTATCACCTTTCCTATTTAACGTGGTAGCTAAAGGCCTAAACTTATTACTTACAAGAGCAAAAAATTTGGGCTTGGTTAAAGGGATAAGGTGGAAATTCATGAAAGGTGATATCCTCACTTTCCTGCAGGAATTCTATATCAACAGTAGTTTGGTTGGAAGCTTAAATAGTTCCATCATTACTTTCGTCCCTAAAAAAGACAACCCTTCAGGCATTCTAGACTACAGGCCTATTAGTCTTATAAACTCCACATATAAAATTATTTCCAAGGTTCTTACTAATAGATTGAAAAAAGTTCTTCTTGTTGTTATAGATAATGTCCAATTTGCATTTCTATGGCGAAAAAATATTTTGGATGGTGTATTGATAGCTAATGAGATGGTGGACTGGTGGAAGAAACCTAGAAGAAAGGGATTGATATTGAAGTTCGACTTCTAAAAAGCACACACAGTAAATTGGAACTTTCTTATCCAAATGCTATCTAATTTTGGTTTTGGTTCTAAGTGGGCAAATTGGATCTATACCTGCATTTCTTCAACTAAAATTTCTGTGTTGGTAAATGGTTCACCCACACCTAAATTTTGCCCTAAAAAAGGACTAAGGCAAGGCGATCCATTATCACTTTTCCTATTTAACGTGGTAGTTGAAGGCCTAAACTTATTACTTACAAGAGCAAAAAAGTTGGGCTTGGTTAAAGGGATAACCATTGGGTTCAATGGCATGAATATTTCCCATCTCCAGTTTGCGGATGACACAATTATTTTCTGTGAAACTGAGTGGCCTGACGTGTTAATTGTGAAGAGAATACTCAAATGCTTTGAGATTATTTCTGGGTTGAGGATCAATTTTCACAAGAGTGTTATATGTGGTATAGGCATTCCTAATGATATTGTGCAAACTTTTGCTTCAAGACTGAATTGTACCTACCAAAAGCTCCTTTTGAAGTACCTTGGAATGCCATTAGGGGCCAATCCATCAAGAAGAGTAACATCGAAGCCTGTGGTGGAGAAATTCAAGAAGAAACTAACAAGTTGGAAAATGAGGTTGTTGTCCTTTGCAAGTAGAGTAACACTAATCAGATCTGTACTATCCTCACTACCTGTTTATTACATGTATCTGTTGAGGTTGCCTAGTAGTGTAGGAAAAGAGATTGATAAGATTCAAGCAGCTTTCCTGTGGAGAGATTTTGAGGTCAAGAAAAAAGTCCACCTGGTGAAATGGAAGGATTTAACCAAGGATAAAAAGCAATGAGGGTTGGGGATTAGAAACTTAAGAGTTGTAAACACTAGCTTGCTTGTTAAGTGGTGGTGGCAATTTGGGATGGAAGACAACTCATTATGGAAACAGCTCATCTACAGTAAGTACAAGTCAGAGGGGGATAGATGGCTTCCTTTTCATGTGGAGGCAAACAATATTTTACGATTGTGGAGTGACATTCTACTTGTTAATGAATCTAATAACAGTGTGTTCAACCATTATTTGCACAATGCCGAATTCAAGATTGGCAACGGTGAAAGAATTAGTTTCTGGGTTGATAATTGGATGGGAACCAGTTGTTTGAAGTCCTAATTTCCTAGATTATACTACTTATCAGTGGAAAGAGACATATCCTTGTATATGCAATGGTCTAGGGCCAGAAATCAGATCAGTTGGGCATTCAATGTCAAAGGACCCTTATTGGCATAAGAGGAAAATGAACTACAAAGACTTCATGATGTTCTAGAAGAGGGTCCTGAATTGAGATTGGATTCTAATGATAGTCTTTTGTGGGAAGCTGATCCCTCAGGTATTTTAAGTGTTAAAGGCGCTGTTAACTGGTGTGAATTATCTTATGATCCGGCTCTAAAACTTCCTGATTTGATCTGGCACAATCCCTCTCCACCTAAAGCCCAATTTCTCTCTTGGTTAGTCTGGAAAGGGAGGTTAAAGATTTCAGATTATTTACATAGAATTGGTATCCTAAGTAATGAAGTCTGTAATGAGTGTGTGCTTTGTCATGTGAAGATTGAATCACTTAATCATGTTATATTGATTTGCCCCTTTGCTTGGAAAGTATAGTCTACCATAATCAAGTGGTGGGGTTTGCAATGGGTCTCCCCTAGTTCAGTGGACATGCTAGGTTGGACTTATAGAAAAAAGGAGAAACAATTGTGGAGATTAGTTTTGATTACTGGTTTGTGGTCCCTTTGGAAATGCAGGAATGACTGCTTGTTCAATGAGTTACAGCCCATTTGTAATGGCCTTTGTGAGTTAATTAAAATTAGAGTGGCCCTTTGGATGAAAGCACATTCATTTGGGCAAGGTATGCGGCGGATGAGTTTGTTTACAATATTCAACAAGTTAAAAGCTGCTTATAGTTCCTCTGCTGAGTCTGTGTGTACTAATCTGCTGCTATGATCTGTTTGCTGTCAGTAGAGGGCTGTAGAGCATTGGGCTGCTATTACTGGTTTGTTTTGCGTCTGTTATTCTGTTTGCTACAGGTGGTGTTTGCTAATTATGTTGATTGTTTGTTGCTGCTGTAGAATTTTGCTGTAGAATTAAGATTGTCTGCTGCTATATGTTGCTGTCTTGGCCTGCTGTATGTTGTTGCTGAAGAATTATGCTTTGGAGCTGGTGAAGAATTATGTTGATTGTTTTTTTTTACTGTGTTGTTCTGTTTTTTAGGCTTTTGGTTGCTCTTGATTGGCTTCTCACCAATCTTGGGTCAAGTGCTTGCATATGATTGTGCTTCATTTGCAACCTAGTTGGGATTGTGAAAGTTAGTTATGATGCTCAGTGCACTTCCCTGATTTGTTGATGTATTTTTGCATGTACTTTGCTTTTATCATCAATAAATCTTTTATTTTGCTGATTAAAAAAAAAAAAAACTACACTAACCACTCTTTATAAGAGTTTTTATTTCCACATACCAAATATTTTGTTCGTACACCTAATAAAAACAAATTTATTATAATTTTGTCTTAAAACAAAATTACTAATTTATCTTCATCTTCTTCCTTTAACACCTTAATTTTTCAAATCTTGAATCCTTAAGCTCCAAAGCTCATCTCCTTCTCCAACCAACCTAACCCTTCCCCAACCCTCTTCTACTACCGTCACCCCTTCTTGCATCTTCCTTTGACCACCCGAACCTCTTCTCCATCATCCACGACCTCCTTGACCTTTTCCAGCCTTGGGTCGTTGGCACTGGTTAGAGTTAGAAATAGAAAGAGAAAGGGATGAGTCATGGTGAAAAAGGGTTTGCGACAAGGGTGGTTGGCATAACGGGGTTTGCGATGACGAGTTGGCAACAATATAGTTTGCGACGGTAAAAAGTTCACGACAGAGGCAGTTTGCAACAGTAGTTGCGAAAAGGGCTCTACGGTTCAAGTGAATATTCACACCTTATATTTGACTGTGAACATTCACAATCAAATATATAATGTAATGATGTGAACATTAACATCATGTATACTTCGTGTTAGTTTAATAATTGTAATATGTTATTATTCCATATTTCACTTGCTAGCTTCCTCCCATTTTTTGGTCGTTGTCCTTGTTGGGGTTGTTGATTATAATCAAATAAATTGAACTCCCAAAATTTTGTTCATTTTTCAGATACATGAACTAGTGACATGATATATGACCAATGTGAATGTCCACACTATGTATTTGACTTTTATTGTTTTATCCTATGTTGTACTATGTTCATATGAATATTTACATCATGGTTTTACTCAATGCAACCATGGTCACATCATTCCACTATTCACAACACATATAGTTTGCACTTGTTATCATTTATCATTTGTGACCATTAACAGTAAATTTATTTCCAATGGAACAAACAGATGTTGCTCATAGATTTCATGGCAAAAGAAAAAGAAAATAGTTCCACGTCAAAGACAAACTTGAACAAATAGCCAGCCCCCCCTCCCGGAAAAGTGAACATGAAAAATGTCAACTACTGATCTAACATCATTGGGTTAGTGAAACTGATGATGAGCAACAAGTTCTCGGATCATCAGTTGGATTGTTTGAAGGAAATGCCATTTTGACAGTTGTTTGATGTATTGAGGACCGGTAAAGTTAACCTCAACAAATGCATGAAGTTCAATGATGTCGTCGTATGCGTGCTAGAGATGTACAAGGCATTGAAAGACACATTTTACATTGGCGATAAAAATATGAATATGAATTCTACATCCTTTGCAATTTTGTAAGTAATTAGAATACATTGGAAAAAAGAACCATAATTAGTTATTTTGATTCTGCCTAAAAACATACAATGGTATGTTGTCATAATATTTGCACAAACTCAATGTTAATATTCATATTGGTTTATGTTGTTTTTATAATTATGTACACATAACCATTGGTTTAATGTAATTAAATTAATTTATTTGATGTTTTATTCATGATGTTAACATTCACATTCAATAATCTGGTTGTGCATAAACATACACTTCATGTTTGTGTATACACAGAAATGATGGTTTGTGGTTAATGCAATGTTGATATAGTCATATTTTTAGAGATTAAAAAATCAAAGTGAACCTTCATATTGTTGTCAACTGCTTTACAATTGTGTACACATAATAATTGACTTAACGTGATTTGTGGGCAATGCAATTTTGATGTAAACTTTAATATCACCATTCCATATTAGTAATTAACTCTTTGAAACCATAGTATCTTTATCTATATTTCAGAATTCATATGAACCTTCACATTCGTATGTTTTAGTATGAACATTTACATCACGTTTGTATTCAATATGAAAGTTGAGGCTTGTGGTTATGTAATTTAATGCAATGCTGATGTGAACCTTAACATCACCTTATCACAGTAGTAATGAACACAGTGAAAATATATTCACCATTTAATATTATACGGATGTGTGAATAATATTGACGCCAATTAACAACACAATGATATTAACACTGATTAATTATATAAATATTTACATCATTTTTATATTAGACACATTACCAATCTCAAAAAATCATTGCTATATTGAAATCCAATAACAAATAATCAAAATCAATGACAATAATAGAATCATAAATTCAAAAATCTCAGTCTCTCAAAAAATAAGAAATCATCACATACATCCTCCTCTGTATCTTCATAATCTTCCTCTTCGTCTTCGTTTTCGTCGTCGTCTTCGTCTTCATCTTTAACATTATCACTATTATTAACACCTCATACAATTCCACCAATATAGTAATCCAAATCAAATCAAACCCACCTCATCTCTTTACCAAAAAAGCCTCAATACTATAATAGAGGCCTCACTCCTTATAATCTCAACACTCATTTCTCAGACTTCCAAGTAATATGAAGTGTGAACATTCACACTGATTAACAACACAAATGATAAAAAAAAAAAAAAAAAATCAGAAACAATGGCAGCAATAGGAATTCCAAAAAAAAAAACTTAATCTCTCTAAAAATAAAAAATTATTACACACATCCACATCTTCATCATTATCACTATTATTAACAATCCATGCAATTTTACCATTCCACGAATCCAAATTAAACCAAACCTACGTTTGAAGAATATGTTTGTAACAAAATCGTCTAGATATAAACAGAGTTTCAACTTGCAACAATGGAAAAACAATGTTTTGAACACAGAGCAACTATGGACGAACACAAAGTTTCGAACACAAAGCGACAATGAAGGAACACAATATTCTCTATGTGTAAACTATAGCTTCAAAACCCTACCAAACAGAGAGTTTCAAAACTCTAGCACAACGAAACAATACCAGAAACGTGAATGAAACTTATCAGAAGGAAACACAAAAATAATGGTAACTACCAAAACAAAGGAAGTAACAAAAAGGAAACATGTATATCATTTTTCTGTGTAATACATATCAACAATAGATATAAGGGTATAATAGTCCAACAAACAATATAAATCAAGAAAAAAGAATCTCATGGAATAAAAGTATAAATACATGAGACTAACTAGGCTATAATTTTTTTTGGTGGACTTATTAGGTTAGAACACCTCTAAATGGAATTTATCAGTAAAAAAAATCCTTTTAATATATATAAAATTATTCATTTCAGAAGAAGAAAATTATACAATTTTATACTTTTTTAATCATAACCAAAAAAAATATAAGTCATACATAATTAAACACCATCACATGAAACATAATCAAACATCACATTAATCTTAACTAAAATACTCTAGTACAAATTTATTTTTTTATCCCTCATAAATAATCTATATATATAATCTATCTATCATTTATTTTTCACAAAAAAAAAAAAAGAAAGAAAAAGAAAATGGACTAAGTCAACCAAAAAAAGCAACCCCACTAGGCTCGGCCTACGGTCCTGGTCCTATTTTGAGTGGACTTGGGCCAAGCTTTTCAGCCTGTGGGTTGACCCGGAAAAAGGTAGGAACCCACAAGGCCAAAGATGGGCTGAGCCAAACCAGGCCATAATTACACTCGTACAGAAAGAACATGTTATGTTGGTGGGTCTACTACACTTTTTTTTAGAAAAATTTAATCATTTTATTTTATATAAAAACACATTTAAAGACATCACGCATTTTAACACATAATTTAAATGCACTATTGAAGAACTCACTTTTCTTTCTAACTTAACAAACGCTTAATACATAAATTTAGGCTTCATTTTTATTATTTTGTGTCATGTAACACATTTTAACTCATAAATTTGATGCATAATTTACATCAATGAAAGGTAAAGATGATGAAAAAACATACAATGCCTTGGTGTTCATTTTACATTTGTAAATGTGAATTTTTTTTTTTTGTAATAACCAGGTGTTCAAACCAATTTATGCACACTTTAACTACTCCTAAAATTTTAAAATTAATGACCGAATAAATTTTCAGTGACTCCAAGAATGTTTAACCTTGTAAATATGAAATATGTTGGGTGTTTCCTTGTAGTTTCTTCGCACATGTTGACCCTGATTGTTATCATTTATGTTTAACATTGTGATTATGGGGATGTGTGGTCCTTATGAAGTTAATTAGAGGCTTTTTTATATATATATAGAAAATTTCAGTAAAATGCTTGAAGTAGCTCTTGTTTATATATTATATAAAAATAATATTGGGAAGTATGATGAGATGTGTTGTTAGCTTCTGCATTTTTATTATTAAACAGCCCCTATAGCTTTTTAAATTAATAGCTTAATGAATTAAAATGAGTAGTAAATATGTTTGGTGCAAATTTGATAATCTGCAGAAAAAAAGTTGAAGTTATTTGATTAAATAAATTGTTATGTATATCGTTTTTATTGTATAAATATCCACAATACCATCAAAAGTTATAATTAAAACACAAGAGATAGCACTATTTTATTCATACATATTTAAAGGTTTCAGATAAGTTTAAAAAAAAAAATTACAAATTGTAACTTAAAAAAAAAATAAAAACTTGGCTAAAAAACCTCAGTTATAATTTGCACTTGCAACCAAACACTACTAGTTAACTTTTTTTTTTTTAGGATAAATTACAAATACACCCTTTGAGGTTTGTTTAAAATACAGAAAATACAGATTATCTTCTATGGTTTGGAAAATTACAAATGCCCCCTTATTAGAATTTTTTATTTAACAAAATTAAATAAAAAAATGAAATCTATAATTGTTCTCCTATATAATAATAAAATTACCTAAATTTTTAATTGAAACATATTTCTAATATCATTAAAAACTGTTAATTGACTTGATGATTTATTAATAAAAATGACGATTTGTTATGAAATTAGAAACATCAGGGTGTGGAATGTAATTTCCAGAACTACAGGGTGCG